AACTTTCCACATTTAATGAATGTTATAAACCTTTAATACTTTTCACTCATTGTCACAATCTTAACTTTAAGACTTGTTATTGGAACGAAGTATGATAAACCATTCCTTCAATCCTTGATTCCTCTTCTTAAACATACAATTGTACTAAGACTCACTTAGAGGATCAATAGAGATATAGTTCTTAATCATCAAGACCCATTATAAAGCATAAAAGCTACTCTCCCTTCTTCTTAGAATGGAGAAACTTTTATCTTTCTGTCTACTTGATTCTTCTTATTCGTTCTACTATTGATCTAAACCCTTTAATCAATTCAGAATTACACTTAATCTTGTAAGTATAATCATATTTACTAAACCTTTAGTAAATCATGACGAATATCTTTGTTACTCTTATGGTGAACTTGATCAACACACAACTTTGTGTACTCGATCTCCTAGTCCTTCACTTGACACTTTGTCAACGAATTTGTCTAATTTCCAAATATGAAATTTCTCATTCATCGTGCAACCAAGTTGCGTGATTCCAAATTTCAGTCCAATTAAAACTTTGGGCGATGAGAAACTCTCCCTATTTGGTAAATTCTTGACATTTCCATAAATAACATAACTAAGAATCATATCCATTCGTTGTAGAAATACGCAAACATCAATTTTCAAAACGATTTCATTGCAAGGAAGTAAACAAATAAATAAGTCAAAATTTATTTTATTTATAAAAACAGCGGAAAAACATTTGTCCTTACAATGCAAAATCTATTGAAAACTATGTAAAAGGAAAATTTCTAACAACTCTATCATAACTATCTAAGCTCAAAATCCAATCTTCAAGTCCATGCGATCGAGATCCATCTCTTGTGATTAGATTCATCTTGCTCTCTTATTAAGCTTCCTTTCTTTTCACTGGTCCTGCAAACACACTCAAATGTAATCTCATCACATCATGTATTAAGAATCAATGAATAGGAACTTAATGGAGTTAGATAGTGGATTCTTACCTAAAGCGTAGTCATACTTTTGACTCTCCCATCTCTTAGATCTCTTAGGTAAATAGGTCAGCTTTGTCTCCAATGCCCCTTCTCTTGGCAATAAAAGCAAATTGACTCTTTTGGAACAACACATGGAACTACTTCTGACATCGCCTTTCTCTTATGATCAAACTTTTCGATCATTGCATGTCTTTCATTGCCATTGTCTATATCCATAGAGGTCTTGAAGGCAGATTCACCAATCAACTTTGCTTTTTCTATTGCGCCAAACCATTGCTGATTCAGTAGCAATAAGCATATAGGTGAGATTCATAAGGGTCACGTCGTGGTTCATCATATAGTACTCTCTTATGAACTCACTATACGAGCTAGGAAGTGACTGAAGAACCCAATCGACAGTCATCTCTTCACCGACAACGGATCCCATCATTCTTAGTCTATCAATGTGTGACTTCATCCCTAGGACGTGTGCACACACCGACTTTCCTTTATTATGTTTACTTGCCAAAAGGTCTTGAGTGATATTGAACCTTTCAATTTTACAATCTTGTGGGTTAGGGAGAATAATTGGAGGAGGAGGAGGAAGTGAAGCATGATTTCTTATTCCTCGATAGAATCGTGGAATATCATCTTCATGTGGAATGCTTGTTCCACGGGATTTGGGAAGACCATAGTTGTCGAACTTTGACATCTACAAAACGGGAGAAAACGAAATTCAAGTTAGTTGATCGATTGAGTCCTTAGTAAATCACCCAAATGAGATACTAAGGCTAGGACCCAACACAATATTCTACAACTCAGGAGAGGGATGTCGTAACCCAAATTGCAGAACATTTGAAGGTAAGTGAATGACGATTCACTAATTTCCACCACGAAAAACGAAAAAGAAATTTAAGTTTTAAATCTATGAAAACTCCTAGATCTTTTGAGATTCATTGAACTTTCAATGGCATGTTTAAATCTCGATATGCCCCTCTTGTTTGTGACTGGAATGTCGAGGATCACAAAGCGGGTGTGAATAACCATGCAAACTTACGTGGTGCCCTCACATGTTACAGTCACCTATTCGATGTGCCGGTAAACCACACACGCTCCACCGAACTATGAAAAACATTGAGTCACCCTTTGCAACGTTTGCTTAGAACCATTTAGTGTGCCGGTAAACCACACACGCTCCACTAACGTCTTCGCAAGGGCACAAAGTGTAATTTCATGGAATTGCATCAATTCACTTTTGCCTAAGTAACTAAGATTGGGAATTTGAAAAACATTTAGTTACTTTGTATTTCATTATACTTATAATGGAAGGTTTCGTCCTATCCTACCCGTTCGGCTAACGACCCTCCACTAATCAAGAGTGCGGTGGGTAAGAGTGGATACCCATTCAATCGCCATATTATAGGCAATTTCCTTAAACACCGCTTATAGACCAGCTTCGTGAATGAGTCCTACTAACGGTAAGACTGACTTTTACTCATACATATATATAATGTTAGACTTTTAATGTTATATATATAATATAGGGTGCATTTCATACTTTTAAAATACTATGTGGTCAAATTTAATAATTATACCTTTAATTCAATTAAATTGCAAACCAAAACTTTTATGGATTTATTAAATTTCTTTTAATTATACACGTTAATTAATTAATAAAACTATAAGGGTGTGATTTGAACTTTTCAAAACAATACTAGGGTTTTAGAATTTAACACTCCTAATTAAACCTTTTTAATCAACTTTTAAATTCCAAAACTTGAGGGCAAGTTTTGAAACATTTCAAAACAATTTAGTTTTAATCTATCTTAAAATTTCGAATTTATGACATTTAAATTAAAATTTTAAATATTAAAACTCTTGATTTAATAATTATCTTGAATTAGACTATTAATTTAATTATTAACTCATAAGGGATTATCTAAATAATGAGGATAATTACCATTTATACATTAAAGTTATCCTAATCCCTTAAATATCTATATAGATTTCGAAAATATGGATGGATAATGCAAGATCTTGAATTACCATATATAACAGTTAAAGGATAATTACAAGATATGAGATAATCCAAATCCCTAAAAATTAGGATCTTATCTTGGGGAGTAGGCAAATTTCGAAAATCAAGGGATTATAACAAACCCTAGATTTCGAAATTTAAGGGTTTAAGGAAAGGATTTGAAGATCTTATTCAAACTCTTGCAAATTAGGGTTTGCAAACCCTAATCTCAAAATACCCTAACCTCCTAGGGTTTATTGGCAATAAACCCTAATATATCAAGTTCATACAATTGAAACCAAACCAATGGCTTTGATACCACTGATGGGTTTTGGTCATAAGACATCCTATGTGCTCATACAAACCCTAATGCTTGGATCTAGGTTTCTCTATTGTACATGCTTTGAATCCAAGACTATAAACCCTAATTCTAGTATATGAAATCAATATTAACATATGAATGGGTTTAAGAACATACCTTGATTGTTATATAGCAATAACAATCCTAAATCTCCTTGAATTGACTTTGGAATGCTTAGAGTCACAAGTGTCACTCCTCTAATGGCTTACAAACACCAAAAGCAAATGGAGAAGGTATAAAGAGAGAGGAGAGAGGTTAGAATTCGTCTTTAGGACTCCTTGGGAACAAGTACACGAATTCTAAGGCCTTAGGGTCTTTATATAGGTGTAGAGATAGGGTTTTAGTCATTATCCTTATCTAGTTGCTTATCTACAAAGCAACCATAAGATAAGCCTTGAAAACCCTTATCCTTTATCCTTTGGACGATTTCAAGGATCCTTATCTCCTTGAATTCGTTCAACCCATATTTAGGATAACCATTACCATATTTTGTAACTATCACATAATTACAATTCAACCCCTCTAGTTTAATTAATTACACTTGATCACAAAATTAATTCTTAATTAATTATTGACTAACATTAATTAAACAAATATGATTTCTCCTTTAATATATTATTCTTATAACATATTAATAAATCATAATAACCTCTCTCTCTTCATTTATTTCTCCAATCAAGTTGCTTTGGTGAAGGCAACCCAAAAGGACCATGCATCATCGGGTCAAGTACATACCAAAATAGTTATGGACTTAGACAGTAATCCAACAATATTCAATGAGTTACAATCTTTCAAACAAATGTTATAAAGTATAAACAATTAAAGTTTGACTGGTCCAAATGACATAAGAAACATAAACGTATTCATTTTTACGAGTTGTACCGTATCAAACCAAAAAATGTATTCATTTTAAGGAGTTGTAACATATCAAACCCAACAAAGTATTCGTTTTAATGAGTTTTATCAAACTTAAAAATGCATTTTAACAAGTTGTACCTTATACATGTAAAGCTGTATCGGTCCAAACGGGCCCAACAACCGGAAAACCTGGACATGGACGTGGACACGGTAAGACTCATCTGGTCCGATCCACAGTCCGCAAACCGGTCGGGTCCAAAAGTTGTTCCAATTCGATTTGGTCCAAATGCTCACCCTTAATTTTATGTATTTACCCACATAATCCAATACTCAATAATAACCACAACCAAATAAGCCATAAAATTTAAATGTTTTTGTATGATTTGGCATTAACTACTTAGAATAACGTTTTTGAGTTTAACTAAAAGAAAAAAAAATATACTTTAATGAAAATTTAATTTAGAATTAATTTATATTATTAATGATTTATATGAACTATATTAACAAAAATGGAAAAAAGTAATATAATCGATAATAATGATAACGGAAGGTGTACCACCGTCGTAAAGCAAATATTTATGTCCCCGGCATGATGGGGCCACTCCCTCCCTCCATCTCCCAACACCATGTTGACGTTACGATACACACTTAACTGTAAAGAACATCCCCACCTTTGCTTTAACGCTTTTTCTTCCTCCCCTTTTCTCACCTCCGATCACACCCCCAATCATACCAACAACAATTCACTACTCCAAATTCACCACATTCCAATCAACAAATCATTGCTTCAATTCCATCGATGGAAGTTTTATCATCCGGCGATGAATCCGATCACCGGAACCAGAGGTTTGTCGATTATAGTCTTAGTGCCGACGTTAGTGAAACGGAGAGTTGTGGGGCTTCTTCTTTTGATTCTCCGGTCGCTTCCACTTCTCGCAGTACTCCGCCGGTGGTAGGACCTCAGTCTGCTTCGTACCTTCCGGTCATTTCTCCGACCAAGCCGCCGGTCGCTGGGGGGAACTACTTGGGGAAAGCTGGGAGCGAAAACCTAACTGGTAATGTCTGTTTGGAAATGTTAACAATTTCGAGTTTATGAAGATCAAAAGTTGCTGTGCTCTGTAAAAGAGAAAAGAGAGTCATAATTGCAATGTAAACAGAGATCCATTTGTTATCATTTTTACACCTTATGGGACCTCAAACTTGAGATTTTAGCTTAATTTGTTTTGATTTTGAACCACTTCTCTTCCAATTTAACAAAATTTAAAGTTGACAATTATGATTTGACCTCAAAAGCACAGAGGGAGTACTTTGATGATGATTCAAAGATGGGAAAGTTGATTTACTGTGGAATTGCAGCTTTTTTCCGTTTCTAATTCGTGAATTATGATGTAATCTGCAGAGGTTCAGTTGATGAAAGATAGATTTTCTAAGCTGTTGCTCGGAGAAGATATGACTGGAAGAGGAAATGGAGTTTGTACTGCTCTTGCCATCTCCAATGCCATTACACATCTCTCTGGTTTGTGAAAATTTCATACTCAAAAATCAAATTAGGTCTACAAAATTTATCTGTTTGCAATGGTGATGAGTGATGATGTTGATCTTCATTTCAGCTACTGTATTTGGGGATCTATGGAAATTGGAACCCTTGAGTCCACAAATGAAGTCGAAGTGGAGAAAAGAGATGGAATGGCTTCTATCAGTAAGTGATTCCATCGTGGAACTTACTCCATCGTTCCAACAATTCCCAGATGGAGGCACCTTCGAGGTTATGGTGACCCGACCCAGGTCCGATTTATACATAAATCTTCCAGCACTCAAAAAACTCGACGCCATGCTTGTCACCATGCTTGACGGATTCCACGATTCAGAGTTCTGCTACGTTGATCGTGGGTTAGTCGTTTCCGATCATGGCGGAAACGTTAAACGACGACATTCTAACGCTTCACTATCCGATAGCCCTTTAATTCAGTATGAAGAGAAATGGTGGTTGCCTTTCCCAAAAGTTCCGACGAAAGGGCTGTCGGAGAAAACAGTGAAGAAGTTACATCAATGCCGGGAATGCAGCAATCAAGTCTTCAAAGCTGCTGCATCAATCAATAACAATGTTCTTTCGCAAATGGAGGTTCCTAAAGTTTACTTGGAGACATTACCCAAGGTACATACAACGATTTCAATTTTCTTCCACAATTCTCGTATCATCGTTCATTGCTTGTTCAAATGTTTAATTCTCCGATTATTTCAGAGTGCGAAAGCTTGTTTAGGGGAAACTCTTCATCACTATATAACAACTACACAGTTCTCGCCGGAATCCCTAATTGATTACCTGGAAATGTCGTCGGAATGCACAACTCTTCAAATAGCAAACAGAATCGAAGCAGCGATGCATATTTGGACAGGAAAAAGCTCAAAAAGCCATGGAAACGGGAAGCTATCATGGACAGGTAACGTAAAAGGCGATAAAGAACGAAGTAAACTTCTTTCGGGAAGGGCAAACACCATTTTGAAGAATTTAAAGCTCCAATTCCCTGGTCTTCCACGAACGAGGTTGGATCTTGATAAGATCCAATCCAACAAGGTAATTTCTTTCACTTTTCTTGCTTAATCTAGATAAACAGGGTTATAATTAGGGTTCCAATTTTTTTTAATTTGCAGGATGTAGGGCAAGCGATTGTGGAGAGCTATTCTCGGGTGATTGAAAGTTTAGCTTTTAATTTAATGGCGAGGATTGATGATCTGTTATACGTAGATGATGCTACCAAGAAACGTGCTGCAATGGTGGCTGGTGTTCATCTTCAACGGCCGAGATTCCATGGCTTCTCATCGTCGTCTTCCATGGTGGGACGACCGTCGTTTGGCAATTCATCTATGACGATTAGAAATCCGGGGAAAAGACGATCATCTTTTAGTTCAACGAGCAATATTGATCGGCTTGAAGAGGCTTTAGAAAGATTAACATTCAATTAGCTATAACTATAGATCTATGGAGGATATATGTATATGTGGGTTAAATCTTAAATGTACGCTTGAGATTTGTGTCTTTCAACTATGGTAACAAAAAGTAGCATGTTAACTTATTTGAGGATTCTTGTTATTTATAACCATAAATAATAAATAAACTATTTGAATTAATCCAAGTGAGATTACTCTATCGTACAAGTCACTGCCCTTAACACCCACATGAGCATGTTTTGATAATTTGATCCATGAAAAGTCCTTGCCCTTAACACCATTTAAGCGAATATGTTATCTTTAATCGAGCAAGAAGTACACAAGGGTAAATTTGGTATTTCACTAGTGTCGTTGGGGGTTGTAATGTATAATTATCACCCCTATTATAAAACTCGTCCATCGGCCTTGGTAACATATGTTCATCTTTTTCTTCCTCAGTCAACTTGTAAGACTGCAGGATCAAAAGCACTAGAAAATATATTGGCATGTGTTCGCTTTTGGCATTGTTTAAGTTAAAAATGTTGTTTAACATGTGGAATCTTAGGCATGAGAAGCATGACTGTTGTGTTCATCATGTTTGCCGTAAGTATTTATGTTGAATTTGAGATATTAATTTTGTAAGATTTATGTGATTTCATTTTTTAAACACTGTTCATATTTTTATATGTTGTTAGAGGACACAATACAATTTATTCTAAAACCGAAGTGTGTGTAGGAAATAGGGGTGACAAATCGGGCCATCGTGTCGTGTTTTTCTCTGACACGAGACGACACGACAATGTTTTATGTAACACGAACACGACACGATGTCGTGTTGTTTTTAACTAACACGAAAACAAAGAAATTAAAAAACGACAAATACGACTATATTATTTTCATCAAATGCTTAAAAAAACCACTATATTATTTTTTTAGTGCACAAAAACCCTTATATTTTCTGAAACTCTTATTTAAGGTTTTCTACACTTAGAAATAGTGGTTTTTTAAAACTTGGATGAAAATATGTTGAGTTTTTATAAGGTTTTCACACACACACACACACACACACACACAGATATATATATATATATATATATATATATATATATATATATATATATATATATATATATATATATATATATATATATATCAGTGTTGTTAATATCAGCCTAGGCGGCCGCCTAGACTCCTAGGGTGTTTGGCGGAAATTCGTCAATATCGGTCAAACTTAGGCTAGGCGGTCATTGGCGGTCCTCGGCAGTTCTTGGCGGGAAGATTTTAAAAAAATCAAATTTTCAAAATTTCAAATATTACACCAAAATTTTCAAACTTCAAAATTTTAAATATTTAAATATTCAAATTTTTTCAAATATTATACCAAATATTTCAAAATTTTAAAATTTTAAATTTTCAAATTCTATTTTTTCTTAGAATATATTAAAATTTAAAATAGATTTATTAGTAATTTTTGGTGCCTGATTAATCCCCGCCAAACCGATTAATCACTTGACCCCAGTCGACTGTCGAGCTACCGTCAAGAGGTCTTACTCCAAAAATCACAATAAATTTAAAATTTTCAAAGCCAACCATGAATCAATATTGTTTACAAAACTAGTCATTGTTCCAAAAGTATTATTTCAAATCAGAGTTTTCCCAAGACCCAAAGATATAAAAACAGGAAGTTATGTTTTGTCTTCCCATAATCATCTAAAGTACTTGAAATGATAAACCAAATATTGTAAGCCAAAGCTAATGAGTACCCCCAAAGTACCAACACACCACAACAAACAAGCATATAATATGAACAACCAGCCGGATTGGACCGCCTCGCAGGGCCTACAACCTATCTGGACCGATCTACGAGCCTTCGGTATGACTGGACCACCTTGTAGGGTCTATAACTTATCTACACGGCTCCACGGGCTATCGGCCTGACTGGACCGCCTCGCAGGTCCTACAGCCTATCCGGTTTTCCTCGGGTGTCTTAGCCTACATCACAAAGCATGACCGCCTCAACCCAACACAACATGTCGACATATGCAACAAATACACATAAATACTGAGCCAACAAACATAGATAATCATACGAGTGAACTCGTTCCACTCAGCTAAGTACGCAGGGCGTACTCAGCTCCTATGTTGGGCGTACGCATGCTTTGATTAGAGTCGGGCGGTTGACCTCATACACGTGGCGTACGTTGGGTTACGCACGGTGCACATATAAGACCCCTTTCATTAATAAGAGCTTAATGCATTAAGCTCTCATGTCCTAATTTCATATCCACGACCACAATACCACTAAGAGTCATAAAGCTTCCAACTTTATGAATTTGCATGCCCATTAAGTGCTTAATACACAAAATCCCAACTTCTTAACACCTTAAGACCTTCTAAAGCATGCATGGGGAAAAACTAAGCATCAAGACCACATTTTTATGACTCAAGAACCCTCATTAGGTCTGATAGGATGACTTATTCGACTAGGAGTAGTATCAAACTTATGGCTGTAAATCTTATTTTAAAATGAAAAAAATTATCTGGATTTTTGAACTATTATAATTTGGTATCAGCGCCTTGGTTTGAGGGATTTGGACACACTCTTTGGTGTGTTAGAACTCAAACTGGGGAATTGGTAGACATTTGTTTTTCAAAAGAAACAAAATTCAAGTTTTTCTGAAAACGAATTTCTTAATAAAAAAGGGAGAGTGCAATTTGTGAAATCAGGTGAGCTCAAGTAAGTGTTTCCCAAAATTTAACCATGTTATGAATGTATTCTCAGAATAGATTTTGACCCTATTAATTGCTAATTGTATGCTTTCAAAGTTATATATGCTTAGGATTGCATAGCCCTAGAATGATGAATTTTGCCTTATTTGATGTTCCTTGTTTGGTTGTGGTCTTAGGGTAGAGGCTTTATTTGACAGTCTATGTGAT